GAAATCATGGTGACTTCTGGTGACCCTTAGTGAAGCTAGAACGTTTCTGAGAAGTGGCTTGATATTTGCCTGCCTCTGCATCCTGGCCTTGGTATTCCTTGGAGGTCTCCCTTTCAAGCACTTGCCAGGGTCGGCCCCGCTGAGCTTCCGAGATCTGACGCAATTGGGATCACCTGGGCTCTCCAGGTCAGGCCCTCACGGGCTTGTTTGTGAAGATTAAAAAGAGAGAGAGAGAGAGAAAGATGTACGCCACTCTGGGGGGGAAGGTGGGACGGAAAGCAAAGCCAAAAAGGTTCTCGAGTGCTCTTCTCGGAACGGCGATAGAGGAACTTGGTAAATGAGATAAATTTACAAAGCGAAGGAGCAGGAAGGGGAGGGGAGACGGGATGGTACAGCCTGATTGGGTCAGATCTCAGAAGCTGAGCAAGGTCAGTACTTAGGAGACTGCCGAGAAAGGCTCTGCGTTGGAAGGCCATGGCAAACCGCCTCTGCCTCTCACTTGCCTCGAACACCCCCTGCTAAGGTTACTGTAAGTCGGCTGCAAGTTGATGGTACATTACATGATGGAACAGGCCAGCTATGTCATTTCTTTCCGCCCCCCATAGATGTATGGGAGGGACTATGGCTCAGTAGAAGAGCCTCTGCTTTGCACGCAGAAGGTTCCAGGTTCAATCCCCGGCACCTCCAGTTTAAAAAGAACCAAGCAGTAGGTGAGGGGAAAGACCTCTGCCTGAGACCCTGGAGAGCTGCCACCAGTCTGAGTAGCCAATACTAGCTTTGATGGACCAAAGGTAGGGAGGGGCTGTGGCTCAGTGGAAGAGCCTCTGCTTTGCACGCAGAAGGTCCCAGGTTCAATACCCGGCACCCCCAGTTTAGAAAGAACCAAGCAGTAGGTGAGGGGAAAGACCTCGGCCTGAGACCCTGGAGAGCTGCCACCAGTCTGAGTAGACAACACTGGCCGGGATGGACCAAGGCAACTTCCACATGTCTCCGGCTGGAGAATCCTAGCTGGCTCTAGGAAAGGCACCTTCAGAGTAAACAGAAGGCGGGGGACACACAACAGATTAAAGGATGAATGGAAAACATCCCAAAAGAGGAGAACTGAAGGTGAAATGGCCTGAAGCCGACCTGGCATTCATAAAAAAGACTGCGCACTTAAAATGTATTCGCCAGAAGCAGATAAGCAGTATTCTCCCCCCCGCCGCCCCACAAAATATATATCTCTTAGCCCAGCTAAGAATGGTCACGGGTGTGCCTTTGATCTACCTGGTCTACAGCCCCAATGCCTGTTTATTTGTGACGTGACCACTGCCGGCCGGCCTCACGTCTCCCAGCTGTAAAATGGGCACAAGCGTGAGCAGACCAGCAGCACCACTAAGGAGCCAGAAGGAGGAAACCTCCTGAGTCTTAGGGATGGGTGGGGGAGAGAAAGTGTACCATTCACAAGCCTGGAAACTTGGGGGGAGGTCACCAAATACAGCAAACGCACATCTGGGTCGGTGCCATTAGCTCTGTGGGAGTCACCACTACTTGCTCACTAGCTTCACGGTTGTGTGTTTAAAGAGGGCTTAGGGGGGGAAACAGGTCTATTGAAGGATATCTGTAAACCGATTTTAGTGGAACCTCCATGTCCAAAGGCAGCGTACCTCTAAATATCAGATGCTGGGGATGAATACAGGAAGACTGTTACTTCTTGTGTCCTGCCTGGGGATTTCCCGAGTCATCTCGGCGACTGCTGCAGAAAACAGAACGGCCCTTGATCTTATCCCACAAAGCAATTTAGTGTCGTACTGAAAGAGACAAACTCCAGCTCTTGTCAGTTCTTTGACTTCCTCTCTCCCATCTCTTCCCCTATTCCGCTCTGGCCTAAGTTTTGATTGGAAGTACCTTGGGCCAGGAGCCAGTCTATGTAGTGGTTAAGTGCATGGACTCTAATCTGGGAGAACCGGGTTTGATTCCCCACTCCTCCACTTGCACCTGGCTGGATGATCTTGGGCAAGCCGTAGTTCTGATAAGAGCTGTTCTTGAAAAAGAGCAGTTTCTGTCAAGAACTCTCTCAGCCCCGCCTACCTCACAGGGTGCCTGTTGTGGGGAGGGGAAGGGAAAGGAGTTTGTAAGCCACTCTGAGACACCTTTGGGTAGTGAAGGGCAGGGTATAAATCCAATCTCTTCTTCTTCTACTATGTGGCTCAGTGGCAGAGCGTCGGCCTGGCATGCAGAAGGTCCCCGGTTCGATCCCCAGCATCTCCAATTAAAAAGATCAGAAAATAAGGTGATGTGAAAGACCCTGGAGAGCCACAGTCAGACTGATTAGGGACTGTAGCTCCACGGAAGAGCCTCTGCTCGGCATGCAGAAGGTCCCCGGTTCAATCCCCGGCATCTCCAGTTAAAAAGGACCAGGCAGTAGGTGATGGGAAAGACCTCCGCCTGAGACCCTGGAGAGCCAATGCCAGTTTGCGTAGGGGCTGTGGCTCAATAGCATCTGTCTCAATAGCATCTGTCTCACATGCAGAAGATCCCAGGTTCAATCCCCGGCATCTCCAGTTTTAAAAAGGGCCAGGCAGCAGGTAATGTGACACTGGAAAGCCACTGCCAGTTTGAGTAGACAGTACTGACCTTGATGGGCCAATGGTCTGAGGACGAAGATCCCCACTTTTACAGCCAGCTATCAGCCAGGTGAAACAAGAGTCATTTGTGCATTGCAGGCACTCAACCTCTGGAACTCTCCGCCACAGGACAGCAAGAGAGAAGAAGAAGAGGAGGAGGAAGAAGAGGAAGAGATTGGATTTATACCCCACCCTTCACTACCCACCCTTCACTCGGAATCTCAGAGCGGCTTACAGTCTCCTTTCCCCTCCCCACAACAGACACCCTGCTCTGACCAGAACTGCTCTTGTCAGAACTATAGCTTGCCCAAGGTCATCCAGCAGCTGCAAGCGGAGGAGTGGGGAATCGAACCCGGTTCTCCCAGACTAGAGTCCGTGCGCTAAATACTACACCCAACTGAGGTTAGGCCTCAGCCAGATTCAGATGGAGAGCGGCCAGGTCTGCAAGGGAGAGACCCTCCGGCCATTCCCCCAAGCATGGGCACGGTTGCGGTTTTCAGCCGAAGGTGTGCCTAAAAGCAAGTCTGCTTCCAGAATTTGGGCTGACACGGAGCTGATGTCTTCAGTGCTGCAGGTCTGGCCCCTCGCGTCCAGTCCCTAAGGCTGACCAGGGTGGATTGGAAATAGGGCTGCCAGGTGTCCGTCCCCCCCCCCAGGGCCACCTACGGGGGATGGTGGGGGGGTAGGACCAGTGTTCCCTCTAAGCTGACTTAGTGCGAGCCAGCTCACCGCTTTTAAGCCTCCGGCTCACTCAGTTTTTATCTCAGCTCAGGGAGGACGGCTCCAGAGCAAACTCATTGATGCAGCAGCCCAATCGCTCGCTCACAACTTTAATGCCGGTGGCCCACAAAGCGGCATTTCTGCTCACAGGACTCCACAGCTTAGAGGCGCATTGGATGAGCCAGAGGCTAAAAAACTGTGAGCCAGCTCACACTAACTCATCTTAGAGGGAACACTGGGTAGGACTACCCGATCCAGGCTGGGAAACTCCTGGAGATTTGGGGGATGGAGCCTGGGGAGGACAGGGACCTCAGGGGGGTACCCTGCCACAGAGCCCACCCTCCGAAGCAGCCATTTCCTCCAGGGCTACTGTAGTTTGGAGATGAGCGGTCATTCCAGGGGATCCCCAGGTCCCGCCTGGAGGCTGGCATCCCTCATCGGAAAGGAAACTGAGTCAGCCCAAGCCCGGGAAAGCACCCAAGGACGCTCTTTGCACCCAGAAAGGTTTCCCTGCAGGCACATCCCCACAAACCGTGCGCGCCTCAAAGTTCTAGGTTTAAGGGATCCCCTAAACCAAACAGGGCTGGAAACCCCCATCTAAATCAGAAAGGAAAGGGGCGGGGAGCAGAGACGGGGAGCTGCAGAGAGACAGCCGAGGTGGCCGGAAGCCAGGGCAAGTCGCCACAAAGTCAGAAAGGATAAGGCAGGGCTATTCTGCGTACATTCGGGGAAGCCAAGAGAAGGAGTCCCCTTTATGGATGATCTGTCATGGGAAGGGGGCTTGGGGGGGGGAGTGGCCTAAGCCCCCCCCAACCAGATCATAACACCACAGGCTCACAAAGCCCCTCCCCATTTTACCCCCCATCAACAGCCAAATACAGCAGACGTTCTTGGGGGGGGAGAGGGGGGGACATGAAACGGGATCGTCCCCTTATTACAAGCCGGAGGAGAGCAAATCTCTGGATCTCCTCCCCTTTTTCCTTAGAAAGCAAAAAAACCCACACCATTTCTTGTGACTGCCTGTTAGGGGATGATAGCGAGAAGGCGGAGGGCTGTTCATGAATCATGGGGGGGGGGGGAGAGAGACCGGAGCCCCTCATCCCCTCCCAAAGGAGACTGCAAAGGGTTATTACAGCTTAAGAGGCGAGGTCTAGGGAAGACCGTGGGAAAGCAGAGGGAGCCGCCCTTCTCGCCCTCCCCTCCTCCCCGCATGCAATTCCGAGATGCCCCCCCCTTCCCTGCCACCTGTAACCTTGTCTTCTTGGATACAGCCCGGGATCCTAAGCGGAGACAAACGGGGGGGGGGGGGGAGAGAAGCAACAGGGAACCTTCCCCCCATTCCCTTCCTCCACCTCCAGCCTGAACTGCAAGAGTGGATGGGGAAAACCAGCCAAACTTGGAAGTAGCGTTATGACTGGGCGGGTGGTGCGTGCGCCAGGCGCGCAACTTCGGCGCTAACAGCAGGGCGTTCCGCGGGGCGCTCTTCTCCCCCGTCTAGGCTTCCGTTCTGCGGCTCCCCAAAGTTCACCCGCCACCCAAGGGTGCTGGATGTTCCCCCACCCACTCCTCGTTGTCAGGATCGCCCCCCTCCCCAAGCGCGCGGCGCAATTCCAAGGCGCGTTTTTGGAGAGGTCGGCGTGCGCCCCCTGTTTGTGGACGGAAGGCGCCGCCTACCTTGGAGTACAAGCCCCACGACAGCTCCGTCTCGATGACCATCACCACGATGCCGAACATGCCGAAGATGAGCGCGTAGTCGCTGAGCCGCTTGCGCTTCTCGAAGAGGGCGCGCCGGTGGCCCAGGCGGTAGCCGATGTTCTGGTTCTTGCGCTTGGGCGCTTTGGCGTAGGAGGTCCCGCCGGCGACCGGCGGGTGCTTGTGGCCGGCTCCCCCGGGGCCGGCCCCGACGGCGTTGGGGTGCGGGTGGAGGAGCCCCTGGGGCGAGTGGTTGTCCTCCCGGGAGATGACGATCTCGGGCGGGTGCCCGACGCCGGCGCCCAGGAGTTGGAGCGGCTGCGCTTCGGGCTCGGCGGCGGCGTCGAGGAGGTTCCGACGGGAGGCGCTGAGGCGGCTGAGCGGCTTCATGACGCCGCCGGTGTACTTGCAGGAGCTCATGGCGATCTCGGTGAAGGGGTTGCTGTCCCGCCGGTGCGCCAAGGGGCTGGCCTGCCGGTGCTTGTTGCCCCCGCCGCCGGCGGCCCCTCCGCCGCCGCTAGAGCTGGGCGAGTGGCCGGGGGCCGCCCAGTGCTCGCCGCTCACATTGGGCTGGCTGCCTTGGCAAGAGGCAGGGCGGAGGGCGGCCACGGGGGGAGGAGCCCGCAGGGGGC